TTGCTCAAGCAGTTAGTAAATAAAAGTGGTGTTTACATTTAAAACAACTGCGTTGTCTATTGAAGGAAAGGGTCAAAAAAAGTGCTGTAAAATCAACCTTGTCCTGCAGTTCCACATCCTGTCAGTTGGGGGCAGTAAAGTAACAATTAGAGAAGAAGTCTGTCTTGCAAGTTTCACAATATTTCCAAACATTGAAAAAAAAAAAAAAAACTATGGCAATGTTCTATGAGGTCGGAAATGCATTCAAGATGTTTGGTAAGCTTTAAGGATTCATTCTGGTGAGAAATATCAACAAAATCGTGTTATTTACAATGAAGACTCCACTTGGTACAATTACCAGTCAGACTAGATCTTTGTCAGTAAAGGATATGAATCATTGTCCTTTTTATTTCTCCTGGAACAAATCAACCTCTTACATTCAAACAGTGATTCACTTTTTTATACTATAATGCTTTCTTTGTCGATAAGTGGTCCTTGTTGTTTTTTTACAGCTGTTTCCTCTCATCACTTGGCAGTCAAACTGTGGGGTCGATATTGTGATATCTGTTTCATTCATCTGTTAACACAGATTTTGCAGGTAGTGCTGTTTTCAAGGCCACAATGAGGAAGGTGGTAAAATAAGACAATGTTAAAACTGTCATCAACTGTCATCAACTGAAACACTATCTTATGTTTTAGACATCCATCAAACTACACTGGCATCCTTTTCGTCCGTTCAAAAACGTGGGTTGAGAGAATGAGAATAGGTCCAATGTAAACTTTCAAACACGGCTGCACAGTTTCCATCATGGCTGATTGTGAATCCACAAACAACTTGTTGTCCCTAAAAGCTGACTTTTTGGAGCCACCTGAACTCCTCTGTCCGCCCTGGGAAGGTCTCCACCCGCCTGCTCGCCTGCTTCCTCACAACAATACAGCGGCTGGGACTCTGCATGAAGAGGTGCCTTTGTTCACAGTGAAGAATGCTCATCTCACTTATCCTCCCCTCTGATCTCCCTCTCTCCCCCTTAACAAGCCGGTTTGGAACATGCTGGTCTAAGTGACCATCCTCCAAACGGTCACCAAACTATCTTTCTACACTTTGTTTTCGTTTAATAGGAAAGATGAGAGCTGACAGCCATTGAGAGAGTGTGTGTGTGCTCATGTGAGCTCAGATACTTCATGAGGTGGATGAGTCTCTTGTGGGCAGCAGTAATGGACTTGGTGCAGACAGTTTGAGACTGGCTACTTGAGGTACACTTTAACTAGAGCCAGAGCCGTCCAGAATGAAATACGGCTCGAATAAACACAGACAAACCCACATTTTAACAATCTCCATATTGCATTCAACAAGCGTATAGGCGTACGTTCTGTACATGGACACATACACATACACACACACACACACACACACACACACACGCATCCTGACACATTCAAGGTCACACATGCACATTTAGACTACAGAAAATATGAGAGAACGCTAAGTTGATGCTCATGCATGAAGATGAATCCTCCAGCAATAAAAATGATTTTCAGACTAAGTATATAAAGCATATCAACGCGATGACTATAGAAAGAAATCACATGTTTTGCTACAACTCTACTGACACACATGGACGCACTTTCACTCTTCACATTACCTTTCTGATGTGGGTGAGCGCTGATGAAGTGCTCTTAGAGTAGTTTCTCATTTTGCGTAACCTGACCCCGCAGAAGACAGCATCCACTTGCATGGTTCCTTTCCTTCCAAGTGTAGTTTGGCTTTTCTTTTTCTCCCCCTCTCTCCCTCTCTCTCTCTCTCTCTCTCTCTCTCTCTCTCTCTTCCCCGGTTGTACACCCCTACCCCTGCCACCGACCTCTCTCCCTTTGCATAGCCCCTGCCTGTACCTCACACACACACACACACACACACACACACACACACACACACACACACACACACACACACAGTGCAGATCCAAGCACACAAGAGGTTTGAAAAGAGGCACAACGTCAGAGAGAGATCCCTCCTCCCGTCCAGCCTCTGCGCTACAAATGTTTACAGCTCTTTTCTCCACTCGCGGCTCTGAAACACTCACTCATTCGGGCTCCTGTCTCTCAATGACGCCGGCCCTTCTCTCTCTCCCCTTCTCAAACTTTTCCCACCCCCCCACCCCTCCCTCCCTCCCTCCTTCCCTCCTTCTCTCTCTCCTCCCTCTCCATTTTCCATCATCACCCCCCTCTACATCCCCTCCCACCGACCTAAACCCCCCACCGCTGAACTAATCTGCAGCTGGCCGGCCGATTGGAGCCCTAGTTGCCAGGGAAACAGAGTGTCCTGCTAAAAAAAAAAAAAAGAAAAAAAAATGGAGGAATGGAGCAGGAAGGGGCAAAGCTGAACACAAATGAATACATAAACAACAGCCTCCTCTGGGAGCAAATTAACAAAGCCCAAGGGCCACTTTTCCTCTCTCAGCGAGGGGACAACATGTTCATCTATTTCATCTCTTTATACGTGACAGTCAACAACAACAACTAGCCTACAAGTAGTGTAGGAGCGTATGTGCTGAATGCTGTGTGTGGTGAGGCTGAATGTTCTCACACAGAAAGAGGTTTGGCAGCGTTTGGCTCGATTACGGCTGACCTCTGCTCAGCCACAGAATACAGACTCTGGAGTTCAGCTCAGGCCCCGGGCTGAAGAGTGACTCCATGCTCCTGCAGAAAGAGAGGAGGAGAAGATAAGTGAGCGAGAGAGCAGCAAATAAAACGCTGGACATGCATACAGATGACCAGCGTGATTAATGATTAACCTGTTCAGCCCCACAGGCCCTCTTTGCCAAGTCCATTATTACAAAAGGTATGTTTTACAGACAGTTTTCAAAGCCAACCGTCTATATGTTGAAAATGTACTATTTTCATTTATAGAGATATGGGTATTAAAACAAGACACATTGAAATTCCCCTGGTTGCAGCGATAAAGTGACGTCTTTAATATTGTGCCATTGAATGAAGTTGGGGCAAAGAGATACTTAATGGAGATTAGAGATGGAATTATTATTCTCCCCTAATCGAATAGTTGATCAACCGGAAATTAATCAGCACATATTTCAAGGTAATTTTTCAAGCAAAAATACTGAACATCCCAGTAATTAGTAATTATAGCTGTCAAATAAATAAAGTGGAATGAGAAGTTAAAACAATCCCTCTGGACTGAAGTGGAGAATAGCATCAAATAGATATACTACTTAAATGTACCTTAAAATTGCTCTTAAGTACGGTACTTGTGTCACACAATATTGGGTATCAGGGTTGAACCTGTAATTTAATTTTACTTTTATACAAATGCATTTATAGGGGCCTTAGCCTTCCTAAAGTGTCTCACAGCATCACCTCTGCAACTATCCTGCCGACCTCTGAGCCCAAACGCTGACCTCGCCTTTGAAATGCAAGAGAGATCTAAAAAAGCCTGGCTTGTCCATCAATAGCTGTGAGGGGAGGAGAGAGAGAGAACAGGGTGGGGGCTGGTAACATCTGTTTGGCGTTTATCCCACCTTATTGTGTTGCCGAGTCCTCTATTAGGCCTACAGATGGGATCCTGGGAGCGCACCGAGCCCAGTGTCCAGAGGACTCACACTGTGACTGGGAACATGGCTGGCACGAGTTCTCAGTCCTTGATGGTGCAGAGGAGGCTGATTGCAAGACCTCGGGTTTAAGCAGAGGAAATGACAATGAAATCAAACCCAGGGTGTCTGTGTTTTTTTTTTTGTTCCCTGCCTCCTCCTTTCCTTTACGGCTGAGAAATAAATGTTGCCATAATTGAAGCAGCGCTTAAGTAATCTTTCAGAAACTTTGTTCTGGAAAAAGACAGCATATCCTACCAGGAAGTACTTGTTAATGCCACTTCCATTAAGGCCCCGTAGGCTGCAACTCTGCTCTGCACCATAACGTTCCAAACAGCCAGCTAGAAAATGTTGTCGTTGCATTAATCTCTTCCAACTTAAAAAGGTCCTGCAATTTTAAAGCCAACATAACGGCAATCGATTAATCAAGAACATCATTGTCAAAATTAATTATAATTTAATAATAATAATTTAATAATAATACTAGAATGACTATTTAAAACTACTTGCAGCGCTAGGACCTAGAGGAGTCGCTTTCTGTTACAGAAGCCATTTCAGTGCACATTTTTAAAATGCATCAAAACACACTAGTTTATAACTTAATAAAGTTTGTTACGTCCTTTTCTTTCTCCTGTAAAGCACTTAACTTCTGTATGAAAAGTGCTATAAAGTGTGTGTTGCTTTCTTAGTTGGTCCATGGCCCATTTTAACTGTAATGAACAATGTTTATGTTTTTTTTTTTACAACTAAAATACATTTTCCACAGCAGACATTGACATGTCAAAGCAGGATAAGCTTTTTCTGACATTAATTAATGAAGGTTGTATTCCATTTAGATGAGCCAGGTCCATTACAGCCACATGCTGGTTCACTGGAAAGGCTTCCTGGGACACTTAGTGGAACAGAGCTTTTGTTCATGTTGGCTGCTCCACCTGTGCTCCTCCTGCTATAAGTCAAAATGTCTTTCTAACAAATGTCTCAATTGTTATGCTCAAGTGTGCATCCTCCTTTCATCCCTTCATTCCCTCTCTTTCCTCTGGTAGGAGAAAGCACTCAGAATAATATGTGATTTGTCTCCATCTGTAGGACACGTGGCGTCTCTGACGTTATTTGAAGAAGAAAAAAAAACACAACATTACTAGTATAGTTGCAGTGGTAGTTAACATACCGTTGGTTCATCTCCTCACCCAAATCACTTTAAAAAACGGTCACCATTTTTGATTTATACTTATATAAATACAGCAACACCTCAAAAAAACTAGCAAAAAGTACATGCATTAGCTTTAAAAAAGCGCACACAAGACACGACTCGTCTTGTTTAATAACAAGCTGTTAAAAGTTTGTTTTTCAAGCGAGCGTGCGCCTTTAAGAGGAAGCCACGTGATCTCAGCGGCCCTACGTCACACCCGGACGTGAAGCGACTGCCATGATGTTTTTGTTTGTATGGATGTTATTTACCTGGTCATATCTCACTCGTCGACAAGTAGGAAAATAAGCAACCCAGTTCTCTCCCGTTGCAGGGAGAAGTGCAGTAACAATTTATTTTAATATTTACTACACGAACTATATAACAGTACGGCAAATAAGTAGTAGATAGCTAAGTAGTGTTGTAGCTAGTTTAATGAAGCATTAATCCAGGTCGCTTCTCTTTCTTTTACGTTGGGATCTCGTCTGTAAACTCGTGAAATGTTGATGTGCAGACCGCAGATTATTCCGAATTTGGAGTAATGCTTTACTGATGATTTTGTTTCGTGAAACAAGACATCCACATGGACACAGTCACCTCCTGGACTGAGCTAACAGCGATTCTACACGATGGCCACCTTTGGAGCAAGAGCAGTCCTCCTCAGCCTGCGGTGCACCATCCGGAGAGCAGGCTCCTTTACCAAAACTGGGCTCGTGCACAGCTCCTGGGCATGTTTTGTTACAAGAGGGCGGATCTTAACCCAGATACCCAAGGTCACGTTGCTATGTTGGGGTGCAGTCAATGCATCATCCTGTGCAGCCTCATGTCAGGAAGCAACTCTTCCACGTCTAACCGCTGACAAAAAGTTTCTAGCCAAAGTCCAAGTGCACAAAGTGGTGTTTCTTCTCCGCTTCGGCCTTCGTGCATTGGTGCTGCTCCTCAAATTTGGCCCCCTGCTCCTCCTGTCCCCCTTGGCCCTGGTGTCCACCCGCTTGGCGTCTTTCTGGCTGGAGGCTCTGCTGTGGGTGACTGAAACATCTGGGCCCACTTTCATCAAGCTGGGTCAGTGGGCCAGCACCAGGCGGGACATCTTCTCCCTGGAGTTCTGTGAGCGCTTCTCCAAGCTCCATGTGAAGGTGCGCCCACACTCCTGGGCCCACACCAAGCAGTGTCTCCGGAGGGCCTTCGGGGAAGGCTGGAGGAAGGTTTTGAGGTTTGACAGCAAAGAGCCAGTGGGTTCGGGATGCGTGGCTCAGGTGTACAAAGGCTGGGCGAAGGCGGACCAGGTGGAGGACCCGGTCTTCCAGTCTCTGGTGGAGGAGATGGAGAAGGAAGACTTGCTAGAAGCCTGGGAGATCCCTGGTCTGGGAGGAGTGGCAAGGTCCCTGTGGCGGCTCTGGAGGGGGGGTAAGGAGGAGGAGGAGGACTTTGGGGACAGAAGTCACCCAGAAGGGATGTGCAGTGCAGAGAAGGAGCATCTGATACCTGTGGCTATCAAGGTGAGTGTCACAAAATAGCCTCACTTGAGTATATTTTACACTTTGTAAGCCGGTCAGCGGATGTTCGTGAATTTGTTTCCGGTGTCTTCCAGGTTGTCCATCCAGGCATCAGGAAGCAGGTGGAAATCGACCTACTGCTGATGAAAGCGGGGAGCTGGCTCCTGCAATGCCTGCCCGGACTCAAGTGGCTCAGTCTGTGTGAGATAGTAGACGAGTTTGAGAAGCTCATGATCAAACAGGTGGGAATATTCAGACGCCCAACATTTAGAATATCACACAACTTAAGCCGTTTGACGTTGTGCATAAATATACTGTATGTATAAATAACCTCGTAGAAAGGATCTTTTTCAGCAATCTGACCGAACTTTTATTTCAGATTGATCTCCGTTTTGAGGCCAAGAACATCGAGCGTTTCCATGAAAATTTCCGCAATGTGGATTACGTCAAGTTCCCAACCGCTTTACGACCTTTTGTCACCAGGACCATTTTAGTGGAAACTTTTGAGGCGAGTACAGAAGGATTTAAAACACAGACTGAGTCACTGAGTGATAGATTGAGCTCGAAATGTACAGTACAAGCAAGTCACACATATCAGAATATCAAAATGCACACTTCTATAACCAATGAACTATTGTCGTCTTTAACAGACTCCACCTATGTGACACAATGTCTGTGAATTCCAGGCATGAATGAGACCAACATTCAGTTTATATGCAACCTTCTTCCATCAGGAGAGTGAGCCCGTAACCAACTACCTGAGCGCCGAGGTTCCTCTGGAGGTGAAGCAGAAAATAGCCCGGATGGGAATGGAGACCATGCTGAAGATGGTGAGATACGTCACCTGCTGGATATCGGTTGCATCCGTTTGATTGTCACCATTACTGTTCATTTTATAATGTGTTAAAAGTTTATATGTGAGATTATATGTATCCGTTGTTTGTCTCCATTTGCATTCCAGGTGTTTGTGGACAACTTTGTCCACGGAGATCTCCACCCCGGGAATATTCTGGTCCACACTTGTGGGCCTCTTCCCGGCTCCGCTGACGGTGCTGGTACATCGGGGGACGCCCACGGTAAGACCACCCTCACTGACTTGTGGGACACGGTGGTGGTCAGCTTCAGGCCAGACGGGTGTCCTCTCCAGCTGGTGCTGTTGGACGCCGGCATCGTAACCCAGCTCAGCGACTACGATCTCGCCAACCTCAAGGCCGTCTTCACAGCTGTGGTGCTGCATCGGGTAAGTGATCCCGATGGAGTCACCTGGCCGTTTACTTTCTTGACTCGTATCACTTTAAAGAAATATAGCAGAACGTATTTTAAAACATGTTTGACACATTTCTAAATCTTAATCTATTCCTCGGCAAATCCAATCAGCCGTTAACTTATTATAAAAGCTTCTTAGATAGAAGAAATGACAAAAAAGAAAGGAATGTAATCTGTAGGTCAAAGAAAAACATCCAGGATCTTTTGATCTGCTTTCTTCAGGGTGAGCGAGTGGCGGAGTTGCTCCTGAATCACGCTCGGGCCAACGAATGCCACGACGTGCCGCAGTTTAAGAAGGAGGTGGCCCAGCTGGTGGACAACGCCCTCAGCAACACCCTCTCTCTGGGAAAGGTACCAGCCTCAATTTGTGCTCTCTGATCTGCGTTTCTGATGCAGCCTGCCAATGATGGCCATGGTTATTATGTTACCATATTCATTCATTCTATTATTATGTTAGAACATTAGGAAAGAAATTCAATTTTTTGCCGTCATTCTGGAAATGAAACAGATTTGACTCTGTGTGATTCTCATTCTGTAAGCGGTTACTTTTGCTTTGCAAAGGCCCAGAAAACGTTCTGGTGACGTATACATACATAGTTAATAGATGTTGGTTGGTCATGGCGGTCACAGTCACTGATTACTAGAAACGTTGTTTTTTTTGCATTTCTAGTTCCAAGTGGGTGAATTGCTCTCCAGAGTTTTTGGTCTACTCATCAAACACAAGGTAAAACATCAGGAGGTTGCATACGTTACGTTGAACATCTGGTTCAGAACTCTCCCTCCTAATGAGGTTTTCTCAAGTAAAAGGTTTTGAGTTTTTCTTTTGCGGTTAACTTGTCAGTGTCAAGTTTTTCTTGCAGTCCTTTTGAGCTTTAGCTTGAAGAAATGTAGAATCACTAAAATCATATTAAAAGATCTTAAAAGCCACAGAAACAACCGTGACGTGATAACTCTTTTGCTGACCTATGAACCTTGATGTTAACTTTTTTTTCTAGGTGAAGCTGGAAAGTAATTTTGCCTCCGTTGTGTTCGCCATCATGGTGCTGGAGGGTCTGGGCAGGTCACTGGATCCCAACTTGGACATCCTGGATTTGGTGAAACCCCTGCTGCTAAAGAACGGTGCTTCACTGCTCTGACACAAACGTACATATAACACACAGACAGAGCTCGAGCACAGTGAAACACACACACACACACACACACACACACACACACACACACACACACACACAGAGAGAGACAGAGCTYGAGTACAGTGCACCACACACCTGTAAGTACGCAGATACATACTGTATACATGTAGTGAATTGTTAGATAAGGCACATGTGTACACTGTATCCTCCTAATGCTGTGATGATGGGTTGTGCTCAAGCGTACAACATACTGTGGATCACAGCATCACTTTCTCATCGCTACATTTTAGCAGTGACCTCATTAAGTTTTACGCTTTCATCACTACCACTCTTGAGTTTTATTTTTGTATACCATTTTGAAGTCGTAACATTTTACCCACAGGAAAATGAAAAGCTTCCAGGCCTCTCTAGCTAATGAATCAGAGTGTGTGCGCTTTACGTGAGGCATCACTTGTTTATTGAGTGCTAATGGACACATTAGCAGACACACAGAATGCATCAGAGGGCATTTGTAATGATCTAAAATATATAAGAAAATCCCGAAGCATGTTTTACTTTTTTTAATGAGCAGTATTGATCTCAGGATGTCTTTTATCACCTCATCTTTTAGTGGACCTTAGATGATGTTGTCTAATAGGCCATGTTTGCTTTTAGTGTGAATCACAATGTACTGTAGCATTGACCAAGTGACGCCTTTGGCTAATTGTACTCACGACTGACCCGTGTATTTTAACCTTCCATTAAAATAGTGGAAACACATGGTGTATTTTTAAGAGAAGAGAGTCTGTGCCAATTATTTCTTTCTTGTGTTGCCTTTAGTTGTACGTTTGCGCACCCTTTTTAGTGAGGTTGACTGATGCAGCTTCAAAGCAGAACATTCACAATGTGATCCATTTATTTACAATTTTATTAAATCTGTCAATGAAAAACACAGACAAGAGACGCAATTCTGTCAATGTCATCAGGAAGAACAGTCGGCATGGCTGAACGAGTGAGATCAGGAGGTTTGGGTGCAAAAAAAACTAAAAACTCATCACGTACCCTTTATTGCAAAACTGTAGATCTTTTTTTTATTTTTTTTATCGCCATCAAGAGCCCAGACAGAGCAGCACGGTTCAAGTAAGGAAAGAGGGGAGAGGTGACACCTGTGTTTATTAAAAAAAAAAAAAAAAAAAAAAAAAAATAACCTTTCAATAATGACGAAAGAAATAAAAACATCTCTAAAAGACAAACACAATCACCTCAGTATAAGACGAGATTCTGTCACGGTCACAACAACCAGAGAAAAGTTGTTTTCTTTTTTTTTCCCTCTTTTTTTAATGAATTAAATAGTTTTTAAAAATATCTCACCATTTACTTATAGTTATCTTTTTTCATTTATTGCGAAAAATAGGCAACTGGACTAATTGTGATTTTGTGTGTGTGTGTGTGTGTGTGTGAGTGTGAAAGAGAGAAATAGAGATTAAGTGGAGAGGGAGATATAGTGGAACGTTTTGGAGCGTTGGCACTGAGAGCGGCAGCAGTGTGTGGCAACGCAGTACGCTCATTCAGCCACCAGGTGGCACAGTTCAGTCTGAACATTCCTCCAGGGTATCAGAGGACCCCCCCCCACTATCAGAGGACATCAAAATATGCCAACAACAGCCTCTGTTTTTTGTTTTGGAATGATGCTTGAATGTTGAAACTTTGTCCACGGTCGCTTTTCTGCGTTGCAAGATCTCAGTTGTATGTACAAAGGTTTCAAATCCCTGAAGGACATCTACAAAGACAAGTGCAAGCTCCACGTGACCGTTCCCCTTTTCTGGAGTAGCTTGGGGATCGAAGGGCTCCTCTATAGGGGGGGAATAGTACAGGAATAAAAGTCAGGAATGGTGGCAGAGGACCAAGATTTAGGAATGTCAAAAGAGGTTGTAACATATTTACCAAAATATCCTGACACAATTCTTTCTAACAGAATGTCCAAGAGAGGTGATGAAAGAAGGAAAGGAACCAGCGAAATGCACAAATAAGATATCGCGACCATCGTCCGTTTGTCATATCCGTTCATGCTGATCCATCAGTCTCCCCATGCATTTTAAAAACGGTCTCTAAAGACCAAGCGTTCCTCCTCCGTGTTGAATTGATTGTATTTTTGTTTCTGTTTTTTTTTTTGCTCATCCCACACTTTTTCTGTCCGTCTTTGTCAGAGTGGCAACTGTCAGTGTGGTGCCCCCTGGAGGACTGGCTGCCCTCCAGTTCTCTGAGGTGGCCCAGTAGGAGCATGCAGCTCAATTAGGGGGGGCGCAAACAGTGAGGAGGGGCTTTTGGGGTTTGGATTTTTTTGGAAGAAATCAGGGGTGTAAACTTTTAGTCCGATGTGGGTGCTCTCTTCCATAGCAGGGTGAGGGAGGCAAGGATGGGGCAACAGGGCTGGAGAGAGGGGACGAGGGTCTATGTAGGCAGATGTGGAGCACTGGCACATGCGCTCGTTATCCCTCTAAAAAAAAAACAACACAAAAACATTGTCTGTCTTTGAGGCCCTGGCTGTGTAAAGGTCATGGCAGATGGAGCTCCTCGTTGGCTTTTCTTTCACGTCGTTGAAAAGATCAGCAGCTGTCAGTGGTCCATGACTGGATCCAGACACGGTAAAACTGAGGATTTGGGTGGTGGGAGGAGGGTGGGGGGGGGGTTAGATGGAAGGGACTGGCTGACATCTTGACGGCAGAAGAAAGCACGTCTCTCTTTCAGACAGAGCCTGACTTCTCCCCTGTTTTACGTGAGCAGCATCCATCTTCAAATGATCTTTTTTGGGGAGATGTTTCGGAAGACACAGCTACTATGTCATCTCCATAAGCTCGTCTTTACATTCCTTATGGGAAAAGAAGCCTACTCGGATAAGCATGTAATGGATGCGAGGGATAGGGCAGGAAAGAATACGTCTGAATCATCTACTCTGACTGTTTGTCTCCAGCTTCTCTCCATGCTGTTGTTCCACAGGATGCCTTCCACCTGGGAGGGGAGGGGAGGGGAGGGGAGGGGGGGTGTTTGGGCTAACTGGACAACGGGAGGAGGGCGCCTCATCGGAGATCGTGGCTACGAGTTGAGCCAAGGGTGGTTGAGGCATTCGCCCGCCGATGCCCTCTTCTCGGGCACCATCTCCAGCATGGGCAGAAGGAAGTGCGTGAAATGGCCGGCGTCTTCATGCGCCCAGCCGTACTTCTCCACCAGCACGTTAAACAGCGACCACGGCTTCAGCTTGGTGATGTGCCGAAGCTCTCCTGCAGGGGGGGGGGGGGCGATAAGGAGCAGAGTCAATGATTGCAGGAGGATGTGCGGAGAAAAGAGAGGGGCTTAGATTAGAGGGTTGGTTCACCCAAATTAGGAAAAACACAATAAGACTGGTGGTATTCTTGTTTTCCTTCTTTTTTTTTTTACTTGTTTTCAATGACAAAAAAACTACCAAACCCAAAGATGAATTGATCCTGCAAGTAGCCAAAGCCTGATATTACTGTGGCTTGTTATGTGTCAATTCCACATTCGCTATCTGCTGTTGTAGATAGAAAATAGTCCCCAACAAATGAACAGCTGTTGACCTTTTTAAAATGAAGATGTACCACGTGTTAGTGACTCATTCTTAAATATTTACATCATCAGTAGGAAGAAATGGACTCGTGGCTGAGTGCCACAGAAGGAGTAGGAATGTCAGAAAGGGTTGAGAGGCAAACTAACGAATTGTTGCTTTTGTTTACATCATGGAATTTGTTGAAATAAGAAAAATATAGAATAACACCAGTCTTATTTAACACTAGTCATATTTAGCCATGCAGATAGTTTTAATGTATTGGTATGTTGCTCACAGCATTGAATTTAAAGAAATTCAAATCTTTATTTAAACCAGCTAATTTACTATCACGTAAGAACATGATCTAAAATACGACGGATCCTTTTTTTTTGGTATCAATTCTCAAAACATGATTTGGTATCAGTAGTATCTATACTTTAGGAATCAATGAATCCGGCTACTCTAGAGTAACCACGACCACGTTTATAAAAGAAAAGATTGCTGTTGAATTACATAATGTTTTTCAATGTTTTATGCATACACACACAACTATCTTTGCATGGCTAGATTCCCAAAGAGGTAAGTAGATTTTGATTTGGTTATTTGGGTGAACTGACTCTGTAATCTGATGCCACAGCAGGCCACCATTCTGCAGGCTTCAGCCAAACAGCATCTCACTGATTAGTTCAGCCTCTCTGTTTGAACGTGTGCTACTCAGTGAGGCGCTGCACCGACGGAGGGAAAACCTGTAGAGTTCTTGGCTGCCAACCACGAGAACGGAGGGCGAGAGGTGGAAGAGAGAGACGGAGAAGTGACGATGTAATGGAAACAGACGTGGAGAGGAAGGTGTTTATTATCAAAGAGCGGAGGAAAATCATCGGCTGCCAGCACAAGACTGACGTAGAGGAGAAGGAAAGTATGAGAGGATGATTAATGATGGAGGCGATCAAGACCGAGGGTCCAGTTTAAACCATGGCTGCCATGGTAACCTCTCCTTTCTATACACTGATTGGAGAACTGGGAGGAAAGGAAGCCATCACGACTTCCCTTATATTGTATTGATCCAGGCACAGTGTTGAAAATGTATTTATTCATTTTTTGCGTGAATGGAGACAACGCTTGTCAGAAATGACTGTTTATAATGTTTAGATCTGTTTTCTTATACGAGTACGTATGTTTCAATTGTTCTGTCTCCAATCAATGTATCTACTGACTACTCCACCCAAGTTCAATACGGATCGGTGTGCGTGAAGGAAACAAGGTAACGAAGCCGCTCGATGGCAGCACACGGCCAATGGCAGCGTGGCAGACGGGAGAAGCCCAGAGAGACAGAGCGGGGAAGTCAGACCAGATTAATGGAGCGCCATGGGATGAAAGGGAGAACATTGAGACATCGAGTGCAGGCTCAGACCTCAGATAGAGACAACATCAAAGGCAGAATATTCACGTCTCATGGCACATTATGAAGAATATATGAGCAGAAAGGGAAGGAGAATAAATGAGAGTGTGCGGGGTTATCAGCTGTACCAAACACAGATCCACACACTTACCGGGGGCTCACAGATGAGCAGCATCAGAAAGGGGGGTATATAAGATCTCCGCTGCAGTGAGGTAAAGCCTAGCTGTATGTAGGACTTTACTATAGTTCATTCTAATATTGCTTTTGTAATGTTAATGTCAGAGTAGACTACTTCTTCTTTAAAGTGTGGAGGCTTTTGCTCAACAAAAAAATATTCATTCTAAGTTCAATTATACAGTGAATAGTGAGGAATTCATTTTTAGGTTGATTTGTTTCTTTTCACAAAATTGAACTGCTGATAAGAAGGCAAAATATCTGACTGTCTTTTGTTGCTGTGCTGAAGTCAATATAAAGATAATATATTTTCAGATTATTTAGAAAATTAACTTCTGATTGTAGTGAATTAATTTGACCATTCTGCTGCATTCCAGCACCAGATGATAAAGACAATCACAGCAGTAGTATCTGACGAATTTAAATGTAAGTTACGAATACAGATGGGCGATAAAGCTGAAATCATCATCACAATGTTAAGAATATTTTAATTGATATTCAAATCAACTAACTGTGTACCACTGTACAGTATTTTTGTTTGTCACTTTTTTAAGAGCATGTTTTTGTGATTAGCTCAATTTTACTTTATTTATTAGTGTGTTTTTATTTATTGTGTGTTTTTGGCAGCAGTTCCTTCAATCCAAGACAATGTTGTTTTACAGGAGACAAAAAAGTAACATAAACCTGAATGCCTGAAACTCAAATACAATGTAATCAAATCAATAAATTAATAAGAACTCAATCTCAAGACCTCTATGCGGTTCCTGCTATACGACAGCGACCCTCCACCTAACCGACTGAGTTGTTTACCTTTCTTGGAGAAAAACTCTCGGCTGTACTTCCCGGCAGCGAACACTTTGCGTGGGACCTTCCCAAGGAGCTCCATGATCAGAGCGATGTGGTCTGCCCACCACCACATACATCACAGAGGGAACAGGCACGGTTCATCATTACAGCATGCACACACACACATCAACACGACCGGCTGCATGGGACTGACACACACTGCATGCCCTGGGCACTGCATGGACACACCGCTACTTTAACACCTTGACGTGGTGAGGATTTTATAAGATTGTTCTCACTGTTTTAACTCACAATTTCTGCATAATGCATCCAATTATTACTAAAATCAAATCCAAAGCAACAGGAACTTCCAAGTGTATGTAGCGACTGTTTTCTAGTGTCCATATCTGTCCATTTTAGACATCTGTGTCCCAGTCCCACCAGCTCTCTGGCCAGCGCTACCTCTTCGGTTGAAGAACTCCCGGGAATATTTTCCGGAGAGTGCAAAGTGCCTCGGAATACAGCCCAGCAGCTCTATGATGTGGGCTATATGGTCTATGGAGGAGAGAGGGAGGTGGGAGGGAGGGATGGAGGGAGGAGAGGGGGAAGGAAAAAAGGCAGAGGAATGAGGGGGAAATAAGAAGGAGATGACAAAGAGAGAAAGGGCAACGGCAAGGAAGGGGAAACTTGAATGAAAGAGAGAGAGAGATGAAAGTAAAATGTAAAGGAAGGAGGGGGGGGTTGTGGGTAGGAAAATAAAAAACGGACAGGAAGTGACAGGTAGAAGAGATGACAGAAGGGTCGGGGAGGAATAAAAAGAGACAGTCACAGACAGTAAAGGAGAGAAACCTGTGTTAGTGAGCTGTGCCTCCACAGCAGAGGTGACTAAATGAAGTGATAAGCCTTAGAATAAAAGTCACATGCATTCAGATTCAGAATTGAATGAACTGGAAGCCGAAGCTAGATTTCAAGTTTGGCCTCAATGGATGGAGTCCGGAAGGTGTAAATCAGTACGTGATGATAAAACTGACACTAGCTTATTGCCTGTGCAAAACGTGCAAAATGAGGTTAACTGTGTGCCACATGCAATAAGAACAATAACACAATGAGCTGGTCAAAGATCACAAGGAGATGAAGAGACTGAGGTGCAAATAAAGGGGCTGTATTGCTTGATAGAGTAACATGTGACCCAGATATAGATGCACATTTACTCACAGGATACAGTAACTGGCTAATGTTGCTCTCATGCTTCAGTTACTAACTGTCACCGTTTTACAGTTTCTTGGAAACGGACCTGTTTATGCTGCAAAGGTCTAGAGTCTAGACATTAAGTACAATGACAGGAGTTGTGTGAGCTGCAGTGGGGTGAAGATGAGTGGAGGCATAGCAGCAGAATAAGAGGACAGGATTTACAGTTGACAGTGGATAGGGGGATTTGGGGAGAGGGATGGCTATAGTTTGAACTAAGCTCACTGTGGCCATTTTTTGATCAATTTACAATACAACTTTGATCCATCACTTTGTCCATTGTCTGATGCATAGTTAGAAACAATAGCCCCTCTTTAGATGGCATGCTTATTAAACATGCTTAAATCTCTGCATACTGTACAATCAACAATGTCAAATCCTGGTGTTTAAGAGGGAAATGTTGCAACACAAAATCTGTACTCAGCATCTGCACTGCAAGTGTTTTTCTAAACTTAATTAATAAAAGTAGGGTTGTAACGGTGTGAGATTTTCACGGTATGATAAAATTCTCAGGAAGTGGTATTACACGCTTATTATTACTATTATTATATTATATTATATAATGACCTTAAAAGGAATGACAACAGATTGAAAAATAAAAAAACATAATGACAAACTATAACAACTTATATCACTGAAGCATGATAGTTTACATGTTTGCAGCACTATAGCATGTTAAACGAACTACTAAATGAAAAATATCATACGTTTTTTAAATAATCTTCTATGATTATTAACGATTTACACATGCTGAAGGTGCCAGACTGCTCCTGTCTGTACCTTAAACTCATACATACTCTCACTTATGTCAGTTTTTTCAATATGATAGATAAGCAAATGTACACGGTATGATAACCTTTAATTTGAATAGTGTGGTATAGCGTTACAACCCTAACTAAAAGTTAAGTGCATCGCTGCGTGTTAAGAGCAGCAATGCATCTGAGCAATGGAGGTATTCTGTAAATTAAATTGAGGTTAAATAATGTACAGACACTAATATTCATATGAAAATACATTAAACTGATTACATTTTTTTAATTAGAACAGTTCATAAGACAATTAAGACACTTTGCTTTTGCATTACTGTGCTACATTGAACATCTTCCCTCACCAGAAGCTGTTTTTCATCTTCAAGTCAATATCTAGAACATATTGTAGATGAAGTTTACAGTCCTGAGATACAATATTCAGCCATGATTCCCCTGTGGAATACTTTCACGACATGACAAGTTTTCTGTTTATATTTTTGGAAATTACATTTTTTGTGTGTGTATGTCATAAAGATCTAAATACTCACCCTCATCACGGGAGTAGTCCTCTCCAGAGTGGGGCTCAAACAAGTAATCTCCAGTAGCAAGCTCAAAAGCCTGCAAGGGACCAAATACAGTATACTGTCCTTGAGTCTATACTCATTGTATATACTGTATGTGTGTGTGTGTGTGATTTAAAAGTTAGTATCCATGTGTGGATTGTACAGTGTACATGTTTGTGTCCTCACCATGCAGGCAGTACTCCAGATGTCTGCAGGGGTGCTGTAACCAGCTCCTATCAGGACTTCAATGGAGCGGTACTGTCTCGTCTGGATGTCCTCTGTAAAGTGCTTGTGCTGTATCCATGCGAGGAGAGGAGAGGAGAGGAGAGGAGAGGAGAGGAGAGGAGAGGAGAGGAGAGGAGAGAGGAGACGAGAAAAAGCATTACCCAACAATGACTCTATTCGCCCCCTAGTGTCTTGTTAACCTATGGCACCCACCTTATTACTTAAATTAATCTGGATGAAATTTAAATGAAATTAATGATGTCACCATGATGTCTCATTTTGCCATATATAGCCCTCATTCTTTTCCTGTTTTTTTTTGCCAGAGAAAGATCTGTAGTTAATCGAAATGTTTAGAAGAAAATTAAAGGGAGCTGTGATTCCAGTTTGTGTGTACCTTTTGGATTGCAATTTCATTGGTTAATAACTCACCAGAAAAACTCCAGAGAGAGAGTAAACCAGATCCTCTGACAAAACCAAATAAAAAGGGTTTATGCAAAACACGGAAAACCTCAATCACAAACTGCTAGAACCAAAGAGAGTGCTGCAGGAGCGAGTCCTATTAGTTTGTTAATTAGTTAGCAGTTTTGCTAACTAATGCCTGAATATAAGGTCTGTGATTGAATGTTTTGTTCTGCGATATAAAATAGGTAATTAAATACCCCTCTCATGAACTTTAAAACTGGCGGTTACTAACAAGTGGCTAAATAAGACGACAAAACATCACCACATCGACTAGTCCGCCTTCACGGCCTCTTGTGTTTACTCACTCATGCGACCGTGGTGTCGTTCGTTTATAGCCTAACGTTAGCTTTTTACTCCCGCCGATTGTTTTCACGATTCAAAAATCTTAAAAATTGTGTTCATTTGTGAAGATTATCTTTAGAACTTGTGTTTGCCACAGTTTATTTTCTGCGGAAAAATCTCTTTGGCTTCTTGTCGAGGGAACCAGTGCGATGCCTACAAAAGAAATCATCATACATCATCCCTGCATCAATCTATATGTCCTACTGGATTTAGTGTTGAATGTTGATGACCATTTAACCCTGTGCTGCTGCATGTAAAAAGACTTCAAACTCAAAAGGATATTTTCAAATCAAATAATGTATACTGTCTCTTACCACCCAGCAGGCATTTCCAAGATCAGCGATTTTAACTCGAATAGACTCGGAGTTGCGCGGGTCGAGTGGGTTGATCAGGAGATCTGCAGCTCTGGCCCTGACTGGGAGGGGATGAAGTGGGAAAGAACAGCGTTAACACATACAGTACGTAGAGTTGAGAAGAGTTTACACACTGTAATGTACTAACAGACATTTATCATAGACCAGGGGCTCACAAGGAATCCATTCCTAACTCCTGATGACCTACATGTATTTAGAGTGTTGTTTCACTGGCTTTGTGCTGTTTGCACTTGTGCACACATTTTGGTTTAAAATCCTTATTAAGCCCCAGAGATGTGATCGTAGAAGTGACCTTAGAGCATGAAAGTTAGAGTCGAAGTTAATGATAATAAAATGGCCGCTGTGGGTGGATGAGTAATGGTGTTGGTGAGTCATTAATAATACCCAGAGGTAGATATGTGGACACTAAAACGTAATAATGAGCAACTGCATTATCTTCCCAGGCAGCTACAACGTTAAGCATTTAAATAATCACATAAATAAATGATGTAAAATATATTAACGAACCAATTAATTGTGTAATCTTTAAAGAAATTATTTACATTCAATCCTTAGTATGAGTCATTTCATCATTATTAGTATCTTTCTACAGTTTTAATTTTATTTCAATATTGTATATTTTGGTTTTAGTGTAAGGACTTGAATGAGCCTACGTGTACGGATAAGGAGTTGAGGTGTCATTCAAGTGTCTCAGTTGGAATAAGGATAAAACAGCTGAGGTCTAAGCCCGATAAGCACTGCTAGGAGCTACTAGAGGGAGCCAAGTTGTTTGTGTGTGTGGGTCTGTGTTTCTATGACCAAGTGTCTGCGTTATTGTATCAATAATACCTGTGTTAAGCTGCCTTAAAGCCTTTCGTGAGATTTAGTATGTGGCAGCAGTTTCACGTAAATTTAAACATACATGCATGCATGTCATGCCAGTTAAGAATCCACCAACTGTAGTTAAGTGACTCCTGGCTCAGACAGTTCATTTAATAGAGAGGTTAAGCTGAGAGGCAACACTCAAACTCTGGCTTTATACTCTGACTTTTTGAGAGAGTGGACTTTGCTGAACGTGTTGCTGTAAAATATATTTTTGGTGTCAAAAATGTGGGGAATCAAGTAAGCTCAAAAAACAACTAGATTTTTTCTGGTTTTGCTCCTTTTCTGATCTCAGTCAACATTGGAGTCAATAGAGTGCTGCAGGAATGATTCCCTCCTCTCAAAGTCAATAAGTGTTTTGAATGGGTTTTTGGTTAGATGCCTGAAATAAGGTCTGTGGTTAACACAAGCTTAGGATACGGTATTTTAACTGTTGTCCAAATAATTCAAAAAAATATCCTACACTTGATGAATTTTCAAGCTTTTACGTATCTTAAAAAAGTCACTTGCTGACAAATGACTAAATGAGACAACCAAACGTCATCATGTCAACACTAGTCCGCCTCTACCTTCATGGTGGTGTAGTTCGTTTTTAGCCCAACGTTAGCTTTGTACTTCTGGCAATTTCATATAACCTGCAAAAATCATAAAAGTGGTGTTCATTTGTGATGATTATCTATCTGAACTAAACCTCAAAGTATCATAAACGTTTGTTGCCACAGAACTTATTTTCTGCAATAATCCAAAATCCAATGGAAAAATCCATTTGGCTTTGTACGATGGACTGCACTCCTGTCAGTTTGAGGTTCGTAGCGTAAATTCGTAAAGTATTTTTGCCTAGGTAGTTACATTTGTTTGAAGAGGACGGATATTTTTGACATTCTAGTGGAAAGAGTGAAACATTTGGGGTGAGGAGAAGTTAAAGAGACATTTTTAACAGTATTGGACATCACCCATAACAATCAAGGAACTTACATCTTGTCTAGTATTTTCACCTGCATACTGAACACTTCTGGACTCAGTAATCATCACTTTGTGTTTGTAAATAGATGTATATACAGTAACCCAAAGGTCTTACCTTTGGGTGTGTCTCCCGTGCTCGAGGACGACACAGTGCGACTGCGGTCAGCGGCGGGGCTGTTGGGTGACGGGCCTGCTCCGATGTCTGCCGTTCCAACAGAAATGGGGTTTCCCGGCAGAGGATCCAGGGGCAGCTCGGGGAAGAGAGGCATGATGGCCGCAAGGCGGTTACTGCCACCGTTGGTCAGCCCCGGCTCGACCAGGTCGCCGTTGTACATCTCATAGCCGGAGCTGAGAGAGTGGTCCCTGTCCGTGTAGCTGAGCTCGGACTCCACCAGGGGGCAGAGGAGAGTACCGGAGGTGGGCGAGGGAGGCGGAGGATTGCCGGGCTTCAGTTTCAGTCCCTCAGATCCCAACAGAATGTGACCGTTGGTTTTGGCGGAATTGCTTTTGTTGTTGTGGGGTTTGACCTGGGGGGATGTGGTGTCCGTGAGGAGTTCCGTGGTCGTGTCGTCGTCGTCGTCTTCCTCATCATCCTCCTCCTCCTCGTCCTCCTCATCCTCGTCGTCCTCCTCATCCTCCCCATCCTGCTCCTTTGACTCCACTTCCTCTACCACTGCCTCCTCCTCTGTTTTGCTCTCACTCTTTGGCTCCTCTGTCTCATTGTCCTCTCTTTCAGTGTCTTTCTCCTCTTCCTCATCCTCTTCCTCATCCTCTTCTTCTTCTTCTTCTTCTTCTTCTTCTTCCTCCTCCTCCTCCTCCTCCTCCTCCTCCTCCTCTACCTTCTCCTCTGCCTCTTCCTTATCCTCTGCATCTTTTAGTCCCTCCTCCTCCTGCTCCTGCTCCCCCTCCTTGTCCTCTACCTCTGATTGTGTTGGATCTACATTTCCTTCATCTGTGGTGGGGGGACTGGGGCCATCTTTTTCAGCGGTAGGCGTGGGCACCTCCTCCTCCTCCTCTTCCTCTTCCTCCTCCTCCTCCTCCTCCTCCTCCTCCTCATCATCGGGGTCATCATCTGAGATGTGGGGTGTCTCGCTCTGCTCCTGGGGAGGCGCTGCGCCTAACATGGAGAGAGCGGAAGAAAAACGGTTAAGAGAGGAAGTGGGTGGAAAGGAGATACAAACGCAATCAAAGACGGTGTAGGCAGTGAGTAAAAAAGCATGAAAAGAGATTGGAGAGACGGAGGCAAACGAGAGAAAAGGAGAATAAAAGAAACAGATGGTGAAGAGACAGAAGGTGGAGGAGGGAGACGAAGAAAGACATGGTTCTCTTTTTTTGTGAATCAGCACAGCCTCCCATACTCAGTGGGACCAGCGTGGGCCAAGCATTTGGAGCCACTCCACCTCCTATTCATTCACAGACAGACTGCACAAATGTACCTACTGTACACATACTCACACACTCAATCATGCAGATCTTTGCTCAAGAAAAAATCTCCGTTCTAGTAAACTGAATACAGTAAACAGAGCAACCTAAATTTAGCATGTTGCCCACTGCATTTTACTGACTCAATCACAAATGCCTTAGTGTATATAAAACAAAAAATAACTAACTAGTGACTTTAATGCAAAATAGAATACACTTAGATTCCTACAAGGAGACAACAATCAAAGATAGGATTCAACCAAGATGAGCTTTTTGAAAGCTGAATAAGCCATTATTATCTCAATATTTAGTAATGCTCTGTAATGCTCATTCAGACAATATATGTAACATTGTTGTAATGTTATGCACGGAGCACTTTTGATAGAGCTTAAGGATACACTCAGTGTATTAAATTAACACCAAATGTAAACATAACATTTGGTCCAGCATTAACCAATAGCCCACAAGAAATACATATGTATACATATTTATCAATCATCCAATCACATGCATCTTCATGTATTTATCATATTAAAGATGGACGGCATTTATTCCTGGTATCAGATTTTAATAATGAGATATTTAACAACAGCAATTAACAAGGGGAAAACTTGATATGACTCACATGTATGATTAGTCAACCTGATGGGCCTCTCCCGCTCCCTCTCCCTCTCCCTGTCCCTCTCTCTCTCCCTGTCCCTGTCCCTGTCCCTCTCTCCTCCCTCCTCCTCCTCCTCATCTTCCCCATCCTCCTCGTCGTCATCATCCTCGTCGCTCTCTCCCAGAGCCATGCTGGGGCCCAGATGCGGTGGCGGCGGCTGCAGGGGTGAAGACCGGTTGCTGTCATTTTCCCCTTTCTCTCCTCCGTCGTTGGCTCTCTCCTCCTTCTTCTCCGCCTCCCTCTCCAGGGCTTCGATCTCCAGCATGCGCCTCTCCAGCAGCTCTGCCTGCCGCTTCTGTTTCTTCTTCAGCTTCTTCTTCTTGTTCTTGGAGATCTTTCCCACCTGGGACAAAAAAATAAAAATCACAGGAGAGGGAGAAGAGAGGCAAAGACATCAATGAATACAAGGTATTCAAGGAATAAAAAGTTTGGATATTTATTGGAATTGTGAGTTTTGATTTGTAAGTAATGCCCACAAACAATTTTACTGTACATTGATAATAAATATTAGTGCATTTTAAATAGAGCATATCATCACTGTCCAATAAACCAAGGGTTTAAGTGTTGAGAAAACCTCTTTTGAAAACCTATTTTCTCAATCAGCTACTCTGAGTGATATCATCATCATCATGTACATGAACACACAATGTTCTGCCAAAGCAAAAAAGAGTTTGGTTATAGGTTTTCATTTTTTATGTGTTTAACAATTGTGAGGTTTGGAGTGATTAACTCTTAATAATAACAACAAAGAGTTTTCTGAACTTCAAGTATGATTGTTGATTTTTTTTTTGATAAATTGATGTTTTAGAGATGCATGGTTTTCACAGGACAGCAATGTTCTGATTAAAGTCCTTCTGATGGGGAAATGCAATGAAACAAATACCTAATTGTATTGCATATAGTACAGTATTTTTGAAAGTCTGAAAATTGCTGTGATCCCATTTATTGGGGATTCATTAAACAAACATATTTGCTAATTGAGAGCAGTCGGAGCTTTGAAACTACTAACCAATTTAAAACACTAAGAAGACATTTTGCCTACAAATATTGTGGTGCACTCAGTACCGTCCTTGTGCCCCTCACGAAAATCCCACCAAACGGTGTGAATTGCTGTTCCTTACTTTAGGTGTTGTGTGTGTGTGTTGATGTTTGTGTGTGTGCAATCCTCTCAGTTCATACTCACATCTGTTGTACTCACCGGTTTGAGCTGGGGGGCTGTGCTAACTGACAGACATAAAGAAGAACAACAACAATCAGAGGCTTGAAAGTTTCACCGACATCAATCCGTAACACAACCGAGTTCGCACCACGTTCAGTACTCCACCCGCCTGGAAAAGAGATCGTTAGGTTTCGTACGTCTTCCCTTTATAGAGCTGATACATACAGAATCTGTAGGTGAAGTGAGAGAATTGCAAACAAATGAAGAAAAAGATTGTTCACACTCCCACAGGCTTATTCGCTTGTCCCAGATCCATAATATTAATGGTTCATTCTTCTCATGCCGGAGAATGTAGCCACTATATAGTACAGCATTCTCTCACCTCAATCAACTGACACCAATCAAAATTTGGATAATAAACTTCAAAAGAGTTCCAGTACGGGGACACTTATATATATATATATATATATA